TTCCGAATACAAAACTAAAATTTTACAATCTGTCACTATGCGACCACACCATCAGGCGCCGTATTACGCTAAGAAACAATTAGTATTAAGTTTATTTCTTTACGATTTGTAGACGTTAATTTTGAAGTAACTACGCAGCGCCATGCGGTGCCGTCATAAAGTGTGCAGAGTGACAACAAAGTTGCTACCAAGGGATATTCTTGTTTTAACAACTAATTGTTGTGTATTTACTTGAATAAACTACGTACCTCCATCTTAGCCAGCATAATTTCACTAAAAGCGTTGAACTCGGCTGATTTCAAGTGAATCTTTTTCAACCAAACTTGCATCAGTCTTTGCAATGTCTCACTGTCTACATCGTCGCCAAATTCTTCTTGTAACGTTTCCGAATCAATAAAACCGATATTTGATGTAGAATCTTCCATTTTTGTTAATTTAGCAGATAAAAGTTTAAAGTGCACGACAACTTGCGTAAAGAAAAAGCGCCGATGGCAGACGGGCGAAAGACCGGAGTAACGGCTGACGTAATAGATGATTGGTTGATTCGCTACCGGAATTTGTAGGTAGGCGCGAAAAATTGTAGACCCGTTCTATTTTCATTTTGTTTTTAAAACTAATAAAATTCATATTAATATAATAAAAAACTATTTTTTAATAAATAATTAATTGTCTAAGGATACTACTAAATTAAGAATGTAAAATAATACATTGTAATTTTTTGTTCGAGCAATAAAGAAGTAAAACGGACGGAAGGAAAAGTTAGATTTGAAAATGATGTTTATTCGATGAGTTATAACACTGTAATTAATTATTTATATACATGTATGTCCGTACTCTTAAACGTATGCGACTCGGGCATTATTTAATATAATGTAAACATTTGCTCCCTAATTTTCCCCAAAACAGTACATCGAAAAGTAATGTGATATCACAATACATTTCCATAAAAGTGATATTACACTGTGATATCACTATTACCCACAACATCACACAGTGTAACACAACCAAAAAAAAACATACCGACGAATTTTTAAAGTCGGTTAATAACGCGATGCGTTTTAAAACAACCTATAAAACGCATTTCTAGAACTTAAACTTGCATTATAAACAAGATCTACTTACATATTACTCGAGAGAATCTAACAAAAATAACGAAATATTAAGAAACGTCTGGCAATCTACACTCACCCTGGTTAAATTTTACATTATAAATTACCACGTAAAAAATTAAAATATTGTATTTAATCAAGCAATGATTAACAAAATTCCGTGGCTTAGTTGGTATAGCGTCTGGCACGGTATACAAAAAGACGTCGGTTCGAATCCGAGCGGATCGAAGGAATTTATTCTGAGTGTTTTTTCTGAGTGGTCGATCTTTGTATTAATAATTATAACAAACTAGTGGAGTAATTTCACATAAAATAATTGAATATCAATTCAATAAAAATATATTTAATAGAGTTAATACATTCAAAAGTTTTAAACATTAGATACATACATTATTTAGCAAAATTAAATCTTAAAAATCATTCTCATTTACTAATCAATTCATTAAAGTAGATTTGTTTCAACGGTACATTATTTTTAGTCTTTGCTGGTTGGCTGACAGCAGTGACCTGTGGGTGTTAGTAAGGACACCTTTTTTTTTTTTTGACGGGGGGGAAATCTTAATGGATACCCCTGAGCCCAGGGAGACTCAGGAGTTATGTGGGGACTCTCCCTCCAGCCTGGAGGGCCTACCCCACTAACCCCCCCCCCCCCCGGGTTTCCCTCTCGCCGGTTGAGTCGGCGCCGTGGGATCAGTGAACATTCAGCACGACGTTAGTAAGGACACCTGGCGAGAGCGCTACTTAACATTAAGGCGCGGTATACAAAATTTCATCAACTAGTAAGTGATAATTTGTTTTTATGAAGGATATTTTGCAGTTGGCCGCTGATGGCCTTTACTGCGCCACCGGAGAAAAGGGCGAGCTCATAACCCCTAAAATAAACTTAAAGCTAAGTAGTGGGCCTGAGGGCGCCCAAGTGGGCACGGACCTCGGCTCAGGGCGCTACTGGACACTTCCGCCAGAAGGGCGTGCTGTAGGAGAGAATCTCCACTGTACGTGCTGAAATGAGGGGCTCGACGACCTCGCCGGCGAGGACGGTTGGTGCGTGAGGGACGGGACTGACTAGCGATCTGGTTGGCCTTCAAAGTTGCGAGAGTGATAAGGTCGTCAGGGTCGTTGAGGACTTCCCTTGGCCGACGGGTCCTACGTACGCGGTGGGGTTGTTCCCTGAGGGGATCGTAAGAGGATGCAGCCACCACGAGGGGGTTGGGGTGGTGAGGAGCAGAGTCGAAGTATTTCCTCGATGCCTGTTTCATGAATTGGGCTATTGTGGGAAGCCGTAAATCTATATGGAGGTTAGCGTTGCGCAGGTACCACGGGGCACCCGTCGCGTTGCGCATGAATCTATTTTGGAGAGCCTGCAGGTGGTGTATTAGCGCGGGATTTGCCTGAGTATTTGACCGTATTCACCCAATGGATTAGGCGGTCAAAGAGCGAGATCGGGGTGAGGTTTTGTACCCTACGACTGGATAGGTTACTTCGCGTGAAGAATACCGCCCCGCTTTTGTCGGGATTGACTTCGATTCTCCATCTGCGAAATCACTCGCCTAGGCATGTGGTGGCAGATTGGAGAGCCGCGGAAACTAACTTGGAGCTGCGCGCCGAACAATAGAGCGCAGTGTCGTCGGCAAAGAGGGCGAGATTTACTTCCTGATACTTCGGGATATCGCATGTGTACAGGGAGAATAGGAGGGGCGAGAGGACAGAGCCTTGCGGGACTCCAGGTCTTACGGGGTGAGGGGAGGAGAGTGCGCCCTCAACTCGGTAGCGGAAAGAGCAGTTCGACAAGAAATCTCGAATGATGTGCACGAGACGATCAGGCACGCTGAGATTGTACAGCTTGTAAAGTAAGCCGTTGTGCCAGACTTTGTCGAAAGCTTTTGCCACATCGAAGAAGAGGGCGCCGGTGGGCATGAAGCGGGGGCGATCGAAACCTTCGGAGATACGTTCCACTATCCGGTGCACTTGCTGAACGCATGAGTGCCTAGTTCTAAAACCAAACTGTACGTCGGGGAGGAGATTGTGAGACATGACGTAGTCTCTGAGGCGGGCGTAGAGGATGCGCTCATAGAGTTTGCCCATGGTGTTAAGCAGGGAGATGGGACGGTAACTGGAGGGTTCAGATGGAGGTTTCCCGGGCTTGTGAATACCGATGACCACCGCATCTTTCCACTTTTGTGGAAAGATGCAGTTGATCAGAGCGGCGTTAAAAATTGCAGTCAGGAGACAGGTGAGGGGTGCAGAAAGCTGTTTAACTCGTATCATCCCAACCATAGTAAAACAAGTCAAATTTTTATGAAAATCATATCGGAGCAGGCTTATAGGTGTATAATGAGGCCTGCATACCAAAAAAAATTATATCTAATTTACATTTTTAGTTTTGTAACCGTTCCAATAATGGAACACTAGGAATATACATACATGTAAGATACTGTTAGTGGCTATGGATTTCATTGGGAAATAAAACGATTGTATTCA